CCTAAAGTGTCAATTGGACATCCCCCTCACAATCCAGGACTGCTGGCTCCCAATCGCTTGCCTGCCTCCCTGATTGCCCCTAACCGCTCCCCTGCCAGCCCGATTGCCCCTTACTGCCCTCAACTGCCGGCATGGTCACCTGTAACTGCCCTCCCCTGCTGGCCTGGTCCCTCCCAACTGGCCTCCCCTCTCGGCCCAGTCACCCCCAACTGCCCTCCCTTGCTGGCCTGGTCCCCCCCAACTACTCTGCCCTTGTTGGCCTGGTCCCCCCAACTTCCCACCCCTGCTGGCCTGGTTCTCCCCAACTGCCCTTCCCTGAATGCCTGTCTCCCCCACTCTCCCCACCAAATACCCTTCCCTGCTGGCCTAGCGCCTCTCTCCCCAACTGGCCTCCCCTGCAGTCCTGGTCACCTTCAACTGCCCTCCCCTGGAGGCCTAGTCTTCCCAACTGCCCTCCACTGCAGATCTTGTCCTCCCCAAATAACCTCCCCTGCAGGCCTGGTCCCCCCAACTGCCTTCCCCTGCAGGCCTGGGCCCTCCAACTGCCCTCCCTTACAAGTGTGGTCCCAACAACTGCCCTCCCCTGTAGGCCTGGTCCCTCCAACTGCCCTCCCTTCAAGTGTGGTCCCCCCCAACTACCCTCCGCTGACAGCCCAGGCCCCCTAACTGTCCTCCCATGCAGGTTTGGTGCCTCCCAACTGCCCTCCCTTGTAGGCCTGGTTCACCCCACTGCCCTCCCCTGTAGGCCCGGTCCCCTCCAACTGCCCTCCCCTGCAGGCCTGGTCCCCCACAACTGCCCTTCCCTGCTGGCCTGATTGCTCACAACTACCCACCCCTGCCGGCCATCTTGTGGCACACATCTTGTATCCACATGAGGCTATCTTGTGTGTTGGAGTGATGATCAATTTTCACATTACTCTTTTATTAGATAGGACTATTCAAATAAAAGAGTTCTGTGGCGCAGATTTTAAAATACTGCAATTCTTTCCCAGAGGACTACTCAGAGCCTTTACAAGACTAATAATAGAAATTATAGGAATTTAGAGACCTCAAAAGAAGGGCCTTCATGTGGTATTTCCCTGCTTTTGTAACCATAAATGGACTAACATTTTATGAAATACAGTTTGATAAATTCTGTACTGGGGTTGATGATAAATCTATAATCTAAACAGGAAAACATGAGATGGGTTTCTATGTGTCAAGTCTTATTATAACAAATACCCATGCAATGAACACTAGACCATTTTAAAACATTGATATGTTTAAAACAGAGATAAGCTTCAAAGAGTGTTTGATATAAGGAAATAATAAAAAAAAATTAAAATGTTTTTTAAGTTGGTTCTGATATACTATGATTTATTTCTACTTTAGCATGATGGAGGAGTGAGTTCAGGAAGTATGAGTCAAAAAGGAGTGGGGAAAAGAGGAAAATCATTTACAAAATTGATTTCTTAGCTACATCAATAAATTTCAACTGAATCAGATTCTCTACATGTTATAAAATGTTTCTCAGCAGGTTTAATTATAGTATTCTAAATGATTAGAGATTATAAATACAGACTATGTAGAAATGGACAAGACAGAAAATATAGACAGCCTTTGAGAAAAATCCTCTTGAGAAAACAATTGTAAGAAAATATACAGATGATGTAGCCTGGGTTACTACAAGGAATGATAAAATAAACAGGAGTGAAAGGAATTAAGTTACCTTCCCCTTGAGTAAAGAGTTATTCTACTCCAACTCCCTGCACGTCTCAACTGTTCAGTTTAAATATATGCTCACTCACTAACTCACCCAGTGAAGTCTGTCATGCTGGCAAATAAATGTCCATATTCACAGTGAAAACCAGGTAAACACTTTAGTATCATTAAGTTATAATGACTGTACATTTTCATAAGTGAGGACACATCTCTGTGAGGGCAATCATCACCTCGAGTGAGACCCGTGCATTATGGCTACTCGGCATGAGGATGCTGGTGACAGGAGCGTAAGTGGACCAGCACTAAGCATGCACAGGCTGTAGGCCATGCACTGAGTGCTTGAAAGTTCATGATAAAGATTGGCATCCCCATCTTCTGGAAGTATCATCAGCAAAAAGCATTTATTATCACACAGAAGGAAGAATTTGTGCCCCAAATCAGGGACCAGACACTAACTGGCTATTAATTCAGTGTGGTGGAAGAAGATAGAATAATCTTTCCTAACACACATGGAAATAAACCAAATAAAAAGAGGGAATATAAAGAACCTAAAATGAATATTAGAAACAAAAATTGTGCATAGTAAAATGCCAGCACTACAAAATGAAAAAAGAAACTGGAATGGCTTTTGATGAAAAAAACTTTTACTATGTTTGAGAAAAACATTCATAGTCCTCGAGCTACCGAAATTTTTACTATAACTCATGGCAACACAATATTTCTTTAGTAAATATGAAAATGATGCTGCAGAATCTTAATAAAAAATTATACTTCTTAGGAAGAAAAGTTTTCCAAAGACGCATCCTCCTTTCTCTCGACCAAGGGTGCACATTTAGGCATGAATGGCTGCAGTTGAGATACAATCTGAGCCTGTACAGGCCAGATCAAAGCGAACTGGACTCCATGGAAAATGAACTCATAATCTAGACCTCATCAGTCATGATCTAACCCACTGAGCTAATGAGCCATATAAAATACATGTTGGCATGAGATATTTACTTTGAATCATTTCTGTGCTTAAATAGGCCATTTAATTTTAGTCCACTTTAGAGGTGCTGTTTTTCCAAGGTTTTGTGAATAAATTGACTCACTGATCACTCATTTACCTATTATATAGAAGGGTCAGTGGTAGGGTAGTTTAAAAATACACAAGGCAATATGCAGAATTTAGAGTCTATATAGGAGAGAAAAATGTATTAGGAAACAACTACAGTACATAATTTAACAGCAACAACAAGTGTTTATTGAGTGTTCACTATTTCTCAGACATTACACAAAACACTTTTGATAAGCTAAGTATATCCATCTCATAGAGGAAAAAAAGTGAAGCAGGTTGTATTAACTTTCACAAAGTCACACTCTAGTAATCTCTCACCCTGCTCTGGAATTATGATAAATTACTGTGATTGATACTGGATATTGTAGAGTTAACTTTCTCAACACTCATTCCAACTAACCTTTTCCCTTGCCACTTTCTAGCATATGGACACGAAAGCTACAGCTCTTATTCCAAGGTTGCTGGTTGCTAATGATTACGAGGTAACACAGTTATGGCCAATGAAATGAAAGCAAAAAGAAGCTAGGAATTTCTGGGAACACCCTTTCTCTCCCACAACCCTTTTCTCTCTCTCTCTCTCCCCTCCTCTCTATATCTCCATATGTATATAATGTGATATATGATATTACATGTAATATATACATACTTTAGACAGGAGAAGGTGAAAAAAGAGGTTTTCTTTTTATACCGCAAACATTATCTTTATTTAATAAACTCGGATATTTAAAATATATGTCAAACATCTACATTAATGAGTCCTCAGTTGTCAGCAGTGCTTTAGAGGCTGATTTTTCTAAGGACCAGACCGGAAGGCCTGTATGTATAATAACAGCAAAAGATCTCAGAGTGTGTGCACACAGAGAAGGGAGGCAGTTGGGTCCTGAGCAAATGACACTGCATAGTGCCCTTGTCTCATGGCCAAAGACAATACTTTTTTATTTCAGATGTTTTCTGTATTTGAATATCAAATAATTTATTTATACAAAGTAGTAATTAAAAAAAAACTTACTCCTAGTAGTTCAGGGTTGTAGAAATTAGATAATCATATTTCAAATATGTTTTCATTAAAAAAAAACATTAAAAAATTCCTCTGAACATTCCCTTTTGAACTATGCAAGAAACAACTGAAGTACTTACTACATTAATCAATAATTTCCACATGTATTTCATTATATTTGGATTTTGTATACCATATATACATGCAGCCCAATTATTCATATACTCTATATATAATCTATCTTACCTAATAATAGACAAACATGTAAATTGACCTTAACTCCACTAAGCCACCACCCAATCAGGAGTGATATGCAAATTAACCCAACAAAGATGGCAGTTAATTTGCATACACAGGTGCTAAGTGATGTGGGCAGGTGGGATGCAGGCATTCTGGCCCATCCCCAGTCTCTGGGCCTCTTGGCAGTGTGGGAAGGCGGGGCTGGCATGGAAAGAGGCAGCTCCAGGGTCTGAGTTGAAAGGGGCTGGGCCCAAGTGGAAAGGCAGTGCCAACAGACAGGGGAAGGAAAGCCCAGTCTAGCACGAATCTTCGTGTATCGGTTTCTAGTATACATATAAAAGCCTAACTGGATGGCCAACTAGCTGACGAGTAGCTATGACATGCACTGGCTACCAGGAGGCGGATGCTCAACACAGGAGCGGAAACCACAGGCATGAAAACATGGAACGGACTGATTAATTTCAGAGGGGAGGGTGGGGAGGGTGGGAAGAGATTAATCAACTATCTTATATGCATACCAGAGGCCTGATACATGGATTCGTGCACCAGTGGGGTCCCTTGGCATGGCCTGCACCCTCTTGCAATGCAGGACCCCTCAGGGGATGTTGGATAGCCAGTTTCGGCCCAACCCCCGCAGGCCCGATCCAGACAGGAGGAAGCCCAATCCTTGCAGGCCAGATTCAGACAGGTGGGAGCCAAATCCTGTGCATTGAGCGTCTGTCCCCTCATGATCAGTGTGAGTCATAGCGACTGGTCGACTGGTTGTTCGGTTGCTTAGGTTTTTATATATATACAAATAATAAAAACAAAACAAAACAGTTCTACATTGTGCAAATACCTAACACTATGTGGTGCAAATATAAAATAAGCCTTATTGGATAAAATTTTACAGGCTGACATATAGCAGAGGGAGCATAGCTGGACTGGATACACCATGGAAACTGCCCCAGTAGAAGATCTCTGGCCTCAAGCAGGAGAATTACAAAGACTCCCACATAAACTTACATTGCTCCATTGGTATAGACGGTATCGCTTCCTTCCACATACTGCACCTGAGCTGGGTAGACATGCTGTACCTGTTGCACAGTCTGTACCTGCTGTACCTGAAAAACAAATATTAGGACCTTGGTGAGTGAGTGACAGGAAAGAAATGCACTGTAGTGGATTTACCTGAAAGATTTTTCTAGGTTGGTGATCGATGTGAGGATGGCTTAAGATGTGATCCTTAAGATCCTTTAAGATAAGTGCATGTTGGTTGGGCCCAGATCAACTGCAGCAATGAGGCTGAAAAAGTTCTATAACAATCCTGTAGATATGAATATACATACTTCAAATGTTTAGGGTGAAAATTCTGAAAGCTTCTCACTATTTTGAAAATTTAAGAATTATCTTCCCCTGGGTTGTTAAAGCTAAATTTATTTTTTAATGAAAAAATTCATGATGGAGCCGAATCCAGTTTGGCTCAATGGATAGAGCGTCGGCTTGGGGACTGAAAGGTCCCGGGTTTGATTTAGGTCAAGGGCATGTACCTTGGTTGCGGGCACATCCCCAGTAGGGGATGTGCAAGAGGCAGCTGATCAATGACTCTCTCTCATCGATGTTTCTAACTCTCTCCCTTCCCCTCTGTACAAAAATCAATAAAATATATATATAAAAAATTCACGATGGAAAATTTCAAACACGTAAATGTAGAATAAATATAATAAACTCATTTATTCATCATCTAAGATAAATAATTGTCACAGGACCTCATCTTTCAACCTCTCAGAGGATTATTTAAAAGCAATTGCAGAGACTATCTCCTTTCACTAGTAAGTATATCATTTTGTTTCTAAGAGATAAGACCTATTTTTAACATGAACACAATATTAATATTACATAGAAATATTAGCCATTCCTTAAAATCACCTAAAATCCAGTCATGGTTCAAATTTCTATGGTTATTCCAATGTCTTCTTATTGTTGGTTTGTTCAAATCAGGACCCAAACAAAGTCTACATATTATATTTTTCCCATCTTTCTCTTTTAATATATAATAATCATCTATGATAATAAAAGCATAATGTGCTAATTAGACCAGGCGTCCTTCCAGATGACATTCTGGACAAGGCCGAGGCTAAAAAGGAAGCTCAGATCCTGAGTGCTTGCTGGAGGCCAGAGGGAAGCCTGGGTCCTGGGTGCCTGCTGGCAGCAAGAGGGAAGCCAGTGCCAACAGACGGGAGAAGGAAGGGCTACTCTTGCATGAATTTCATGCATCTGCATCTGGCCTGTAGTCTCTAGTATTTTCCCATCCTTTTTATTTCTTGATTGTTACTTGTCGAAGAGAATGGACCATTGTGTAGAATTTCTGAAATTCTAGATTTGGCTGATAGCATCCCTGAGATGAATTTTAATAAGTTCAGGTGTCCACAGCATATAATATAATAGGGTAGATCATAGGCCTTGAACAGGTTCAAAATTTGAAAAGCTGTGCACTTCCCATGGCATCATATCAGCTGTTATGTAACAGCAGGTTGTCTCTTTTTCTGTAACATCTACTTAATAAAAGAGTAACATGCTAATTGACTTTACCTTTGTGACACCCACCAGCCAATCAGGAGTATGTAAATTAACTCAACAAAGATGGTAGGTTAATTTGCATATGCAGGCACCAATCTTGAGAAGGCTGAAAGGCGGCTCCGGGACAGAGCAGAAAGGATGCTCCAGCCAGAGTGAAGAAAGTGCTGGCAGCCAGGGGAAGGAAACTGTCCCAGTAGAAGATCTCTGGCCTCAAGCAGGAGAATTAAAAAGACTCCCACATAAACTTACATTGCTCCATTGGTATAGACAGTATCGCTTCCTTCCACATACTGCACCTGAGCTGGGTAGACATGCTGTACCTGTTGCACAGTCTGTACCTGCTGTACCATTCTTGCACAAATCTTTATGCATCAGGCCTCTAGTCCTATATAATAAAAGGCTAATATGCAAATTGAGCAACCAGTGGAACAACAGTAGCTATCACATGCACTGACCACCAGAGGGCACACGTTCAATGCAGGAGCTGCCTGCTGGTGATTAGTGCACTCCCAGGGGGAACATCATTCAGCCAGAAACTGGGCTTCTGGCTGGTGAGCACAGCAGCGGTGGCAGGAGCCACACCCACCTCTGTGGCTGTGCTAAGCATCCCTCGGGGGTCCTGGATACAAGAGGCAACAGACTGAGCTGAGAGACCCTACCCCGGTGCACAAATGTCATGCACCAGGCCTGTAGTGTTACATATAATCAGAGGGGTCCGGTGTTGTCAGCGGAATGCATGTATCCATGTTTTCCCTGAGGATGTTAGTGGCCAATGATGATCATTTTCTATCCATAGTATTTCAATTAATAATGGTTGCAAGTTTAGTTAGTCTAATTCTGCTATACATTTTCATTTATTAGTAGACTTCTATAATGAAATATCTCTCAACAATAATTTGGTGACTTTGATATAGGGTTGTACGGGAAGTATAAGGTAAATACATGATTCTTTTCTTGAGCCAGTCTGAAGAATGATGACTTTATCCCCTAGCTCCCTCCTAGTGTAGTTTTGCAATAGGTTTTTTAGTTTGCTTTGTATCCTTAAGATTCTTGGCTTTTGAAAATATTTGATGCTTTTCAATCATAGAACTTGTTCATCTAAAACTGTTCCATCTTTGACAAACGGCAGTCCCTTCAAATAGAATCCTATTTCTTCTGACATGACCACTATAATCTTTAATTCTCCTGCTTTCTGCAGGAAAGTTTGTTCCAGGTTTATCTCTTACATTTGCTGTCCTAGATCTCGAATCAACCATTTTCTCAAAGAATCTGGCTCCTATGAGCAAGGAGAAATATAAGTATAAAAACTGTTAAGGAAATCAATTTATAAATAAGCATACTGTTTGACCACTCTGTGAGTTCTCTACCTAACATCCAAGGAGGCACTGTTTAATATTATTAAAGAACTAGAGGCCTGATGCACGAAATTCATGCCTGGAGGGGGCGGGGTTTCCCTCAGCCTAGCCTGCATCCACTCAAATCCAGGACCTCTTGGGGGGTGTCCAACTGCTGGCTTTGGCCAGATCTCTGTGCCTGAAGCAGCTGGGGGGGGGGGGGAGGCAAGACCACCATTTTCTTTGTCCTGCTAATTTGCATATTCCCTCCTGATAGAGGTAAGGTCAATTTACATATTTCTCTCTTATTAGTGTAGAAAAGCCTAAGCAACCCTTATAATGGAATGGCTGGTTGCTATGACATGCACTGACCATCAGGGGGGAGACGCTCAATGCAGGAGCTGCCCCCAGCCCAAAGGCCCCAACTGCTGATGGGGCCTGCCTGCCAATTTCTTGGTCTCTCCCCCTGGCCAGTAGGCCCTAATTATCTGATTGGGGCTGGGCCCCTGGTCTGGGATGGGGAACCAGGGGTGGGTGGCAGTGGATGCAATTAATTATAGTTGCAAGTTTAGTTAGTCTAATTCTGCTATACATTTTCATTTATTAGTAGACTTCAATTAATAATTTCCAGGGGTCTGAGGGCTGGCCCCCCCTCAGGGCTGATGGCCAACTTCCTGGTTCCCTCCCCTGATCCTTCTTCTGGCTGGCAGGCCCCAATTAGCCTGCCACCCACCCACCCCAGTGGCGGTTGGCCCTTCCCCTGCCAACGGGCCCCGACAGCCTGACTGGGGTCTGCTGGCCAACCTCCCGGTCTCCCCCTGGCTGTCAGGTCCCAATCGCCTCTAGTATCCAATAAAATGATGAGAGGATAATTGGACAGATACATGAATAAAAATTAAGTTAGACCACCAACTTACAACATAGTAAGAATAAACTCAAAATGGATAAAAAAAAAATTAAATGTAAGTCAAGAAACCATGAAAATCATAGAGGAAAAATAGGAGGCAAAATATCAGACATCTCACATAGCAGAATTTTCACTGATACAATGCCTAGGGCAAGAGAAACAAAGAAAAAAATAAACAAATGGGACTACATCAGAATAAAAGCTTCTGCATAGCAAAAGAAACCAGCACCAAAATGAAAAGTGAACCTACTGTAGAGATGAACATATTTGCCAATGATACATCTGATAAAGGGTTAATTTTCAAAATATATAAAGTACTCATATAACTCAACAAAAGGAACACAAACAACCCAATTAAAAAATGGGCAGAGAACCTAGATAGACACTTCTCCAAAGACATACAAATGGCCAAGGGACATATGCAAAAATGCTAAAATCACTAATTATCAGAGAGGTGTAATTTAAAAAGTGAGGTACCACTTCACATCTGCTAGAATAACTACCATCAATAAATCAACAAACAGCAAAAGTCCCGGTGAGGATGTGGAGACAAAGGTACCCTAGTTCACTGCTTGTGGTAATGCAGATTGGGAAATTTATAGTTTTAAATATTTTTCTTAGGAGAAAAAAACAATGCAAGAAATCTAAAGTTTCAACTTTAAGATGCTAAAAAATGAAGAAAAAAATTAAACCTAAAATAGGAAAGAGGAAATGAAGAGCAAAAGAACCACTGAAACAGACATCTAAGAAACAAAAGAAAAATCGATACAATGATAAACATTAAGGAAGGCTTAGGAGTAAAAAATTTTGAATACAAGGATAAAAAGTGAAATACATCCTAAAGACAAAAAAAAAAAAGTACAATAAAGACAAATTAATGCCAATAAATTCAACTATATAGATTAAATGAATAAAATCCTTAAAGTCTACAAATTACCAAAGGAAAGGGAAAAACAATTTATACTGAAATTGAATACCTTTTAACAGAGTAAACAAACTCCAGATTATTGGTTAATTCTATCAAACATTTCAGGAAGTAAAAATAAAAAGCCAACCTAAAATAAATAATTTCCTAAGAAAAGAATAAGAGAACATATTCCACTATTTTAATGAGGCTAGCCTTTACCATGAGCCCAAAACCAGAAAGACATTACAACAAAAGACGACTACAGAGTAATTTCTCTCCTGAACAAAAACACAAATATCATCACCAAAATACAGTCCTCCTGGTGTATTAGAGGGCACCTGATTCCAGGACCCCGGCAGTTACCCAAAGGAACACAAACAACCCACGGATGCTGGA